TTAGCATCGTTTAGAACAAAAAATCAGTAAAGTATCAGCATCCTGCTCTAGGCAGAACGTTTATCATTCGAAAATTGTATAACTTTAATAGCAGGATTTTCGTTAGCAGGCGCTATGATTGGCCAGATGTCATGTCAAATGATATCCTCAAAATTAGTTTCTCTCGATACGATGGTGTTTTCAAGTCTGTACGTTCTTTTCGCTTTGCAATGGATCTTTAATTCATTTCTTAAAACGTGTTTCTCATTAATTTTATCTAGTCTGAATGGCTATACAGGAGTTAGCTCAATGTTGCACGTGCTAGACCCATCTTTCTCACCTGGAGCACCTACAGGAGGTGCTTCAAGCCGTCTGTTTTGAATTGATGCGGCATGCCATTGGGTCGTCTGAAATGATGCTGCTGTATTCTTAAATACTTCAGACGATAGCGCGATCTAGTGTGCCCTAGATCTTGAATGGGAACAGGGTCAGAGTCTCTCCATGCAGTATTAGGAGTCAGTCTGGGCAGGTTGATCAATACGTGCATACTTGGACAGGTTTTTAGCTCTCGGCCTGTTTTAGTGGCAAGAATCTAAGCACGATTTCATCCACGTGATCTCAGTATTGGATTTTTGAGTTTTTTAACTTGATCTACAATACATTTATCTTTCCTTTTGTATCAATGGAATTATGACTTTGAATGACTTTTCCATATATCAATGTAAATCATTCAGAAAACCCTGCACAATTGACTTTTATTTCAAGCAATGTTCATATATTGAAAACACTTGAAAAACTCTAAATTAAGCCTGAGATGAATCAAAATAAATTATGATTTTTACTCTTTAATAAGTTTAAGTGATTGATTTCCATTCACTCGCGATATATAAAAACTTGCCCCCAACATGAATTTAATGCTGCTCCAAATATTCTTCCTTTTGAAATTGTATGTCCATAGGTCTAATGTATCTCAGTTCATAATAACTACTGATATTGCCGATTGAACTGTAGAAAGTGTGTTCATAAATTTACATGGGAGTAAACAAATCTCTGCTCATTGTTAGTCTATGTAATTGGCAACTACAGTGTACGTACATGTAAACTAACTTTTGCTGGTGTTATGGAAAGAACCGCTAAATGACCCATTTTGCTGTTTATTTCATTACCTAGGTTACTGAACTGGGTTTGTCCTGGCAAAGATAACGAGACACCCTCAGGCCTCGCCAATTTCTAGTGACATAAAACGTGTAGTACTCTGTTGATGCATGTTTAGCCAAGATATAGCAAGCCAGCTTTATTTCATATCATGTTAATTTACTGTTGTTGATATGTAAGTGAAGGCCATTGCCGTAATTTGAAGTAGCCTCGGTTTGGTCATGAATATGGGCCTGTTATCATTATCCTAAACTCAGACTTACAATGTAGATGGGTCATGGATATGGACTTGTCCTCAGGCCAGGTGGTACGTGCCTTTGTAGATGGGTGTGTGATCATTATCCTAAAGTCAGATTTAGCTGGTTCATTAACATACAATGTAGTTTTGTTATCATTATCCTAAAGTCAGCCTCAGATATGGCAGTATACATTGGCATGTTATCATTATCCTGAGCCTCACATGGATATCATTCATGAAATAACATCCAACTACCGGTACATGGCTCTTTGTATACTGTATAGGCATGTTCGCATTATCCCATATTGAGAAATTAAACTCAACGAAAGTTTGCAGAAAAAACATTTTCTGTGAGTGTGAATGCTAAACAGATAAATGTATGTTGTAGGTGAGTAGTTATTATCACATGTCATTGTTCTACCCAATAAATTAGTACTTTACACTCACGTAATCATTTTGCCAAGTGTGGACAGTTACCAAATAGTTTGAAAAATATGACAAGTTGAACACTTTTATGATAGCAAGAACAACTGCCATGTGCCAACCTTGTTACAGAAGATCAAGGCAAACCCACAATCAAACTGTAAACTTGGTAATAGTAGTATAAACATGTTTTTCTTCATAATCAAGCAGATAAAATTGTTAATAGTTCACACATTCTACGTCATAATTTGTTGGCACTGTGATCCAGTTTTGTTCTTTTACGTAGGATATGAACTTGGGATCAACTTTGTTTTTTCTTGTTACACTACCCAAAACAAAGGAACCTACATTGTCTTTAAATGTATAAAGGTGATGCAGACTTGTTTATTCTTTGCAGGGAGGATGTGGTGAGAATGGTTTTGCTACTGTTGTTTGTGATTGATACTATAGGAGGAAAAAAATATAAGAAAAGAAAGAAAAATGAGAAGAAAAGTGAATAGTATTAGTTGATAGCTCACATTGAAATATGTTTTTAAGAGGAATATCATAAGAGTCGCTAAATTGTACAGGAATCTTTAAAAACTCTGAAAAATTCATTCGTTTGTCATCAACTTTTTTTCTTCTTCTCTGCTGACCTGTTTTTGTGATCTTTTATTCATTTAAATCAGCAGGTCTTGAGACTTTTCCTTTAAAATTACTACTTAACACTTCCTTCATTTCAAGGTCAACCATTCAAGCGCCAGAATATCCAAGTTGTGAGATAGTGGCTTTTAATTCTCCTTAGTTATAAACGCTCACCCTCTCCCTTTAAGAGTACTTCGCACTTCCTTTGTTTTTAACAAGGTCAACCATTTACTAAGCGTGAATATCCTTAGTGTGCCATATTGGCCTCCTATCCCATAGTTATCTCCCTCTCCTTTTAAAGGTACCGGTATACACCCGTTTTGGAAACGCCCCCATCTCAATAATTGAAATGGAAGCTCTTATTACCAATCATGTGAATGAATATGTTACGTGATGATACAAATTTTGCCGGGAAACTGCTTACTAATTGATATATTAGGTAAATTATCATATCTATCCGGAATGGATAGATATCACATACATGTAGTCCCATTTTCATCTTTCTGTGTATGTTACAGTGCTTGTAACTTTACCAAGACTGGGCCAAATTTCTTATCATTTTGATATTTCCAGAACTTGCAGTACATACCAATATGCTAGATGATCAACCTTTTCTGATCAATTCCACAACGTTTCTTTCACAATGCAATCGCATGACCAGAACTGGTCTATACCTTTAACAGTACTCAATACTCACTTAAATTGTGTCATGTCTTCTGTAGTGATGAGTGTGTGGACCTACACTTGAACTTTATTTTTGATGCCAGCCTTTTATTGCATCAGACTGTCCCTCTTAGGGCCATTGTACAACTATCACTCCCCTTGAACAGTACACAACTTTTACTTTAATAAGTGTGTCTTTTGTAGTGATAAGTGCATGGACCTACACCTGAACCTGGTTTTAAGGTCAGCATTGTACTGCACCAGACCATCCTCTTTGTGTCATTGTGGCTTGTAACTGATATACTTTTAGCATAGCCAGGTGGTCTCCAATTAAAATAGGCTTGCACTGCGGCCAAGTTTCAGTCCGCTAGGAGACTGAACTGTTAAAGGTGTAAATGTGATCAGAACGCTTTTCTTGTCATACATCCCTGTTTAATGTCATTGAAACATTCCGAAACCGAAGTTGACATGTGTCGACCCTCAGGGACAATCTTGCCACAAAAGACCATTTTCGTAATGCACGCTTCAATTTATGGAAGCCTCTCATTTTGTGCTTATCATAGAATACGAGTAGGGTGTCCACTCGTCGTCCTAGATTCAATCTCTTGCAAGCGGCAGCAGTTATTGCTATGTTTTACACCCAGATAACTTACCCAAGACTTTCAATTTCATGTACTTCTACATAACTCATTAGACAGTTTTCCAAAAGCCTGGCAAAAAAAACTGTTTTTGAAATTTTAGGTCTCTGTTTAACTTATTTCCTTAAAGCTATGTGTACCAGATGTTTTCCTTGGATTCTAGGAGATATAGAATCAAGTTTTACATTGCATATTCCCTCCTCAATAAAAAGTAACACAATGGTGATACAAGTTAAAGACATTTAAAAGTTCATCAGGTTATGTCATAAAAGAATAAAACTTAATAATAAGTTGAGGGGAAACAAATAAACCAAGACACCACTTGTCTTTCGCAGTGGAACCCCATCAAACATGAATACACTTTAGTGACTTTACCATGCTACATGTTTATAAAATAACATCAAGAATCTGTAACATGAACAAGGTCCATGCAAGAAGAAGTGACGCAAGAAGGGCTTGTTGTTTAGTAAAGAAAGTAGCAAGGGATCTACCCTGTGAACCATCGGGGGAGGAAGTTGTTGAGAGTATGAGTAATTAGTGTTAACAGCAGGTATGAGAAAGCCAGGAAGTTGGGTAGCAGTTACAGTGCCAACGATTAACACTCATCAAATTCGTAAATCCTTTCCTACTTGGGTATTGGTAATACGGGGATCAGAGGTGGAAATGAGAGAATTAGCACTTTGCCGGATGGTTAGCGGAATGTAAATGAGATGTTGTTTTAGTGTTTTCTAAACGAAGCAAGTGTGTTATTGAGTGGCTAATTAAGGGAGTTGTTTTTAAAAGGGTGTGTACCAATACTTAGGCCACTTCCGTTTCTTATTTCAAGGCTACAGTATCTTTTGTCAATGCAAAATAATGAAAGTAATGAAGATCAATTTGAATGATAATAAAGATGATTTCTTGAGTTTGTTTCATTTGAGTGGCTTTGCAGCGTACATGTACAGCATTAAAGAATACCCATACTGTCCAAATCCCAGTCAATATTTATTAAAGTATTATTTTCAGTTGTGACTTTGTCAGTTGTTAGCTGAGATTCATGTTTGAAAAATTGAATGAATATTTATTTGTCCTCATTTAGCATTTTATGATATTATGCGAAAGCACAACTGAGCTTGCCTTGCACAATAAAATCAAAATATCAGGATAAATTACCATTTATGACCCATAAAAAATAATTAATGGTTTTCATACGAAACTTTTCAAGAGCCATATAATTTACTTCATATTTTATGAATATGCTTTTGTGCAATCATTCAATATTTCTAATTTCTCTTTTTCAGATATAAGACACCATCTAAGCGAGCAGTTGAAATCCTTAGACAACCGAGCTGAGAATCAGAGAGAACTTATCACAGATTACCAGGAGTACTTTAGACAAAGGTCAGAGATCGAGACACAGTATGCCAAAGATCTTGAAAAGCTACACGATCGCACCGTTCGGAAACAAAGGCAATCACAATCACAGTAAGTATTCTTACATTTAACATTTAATTGTTCTCATATTTATGTCTAGCATACTGTTTATTGGAATGCACAAAGATATTGATTAACGGTTCAAACGCTTTAACAAAACTTTGAAAACACCACCTCTATTTCTGCTCTCTGCAGATGACTTTAAATGTATCAAGTTCCCAATTTCCCTGGCACTACCAGATAAGTTGACAGTCAACGATGTATATCGCATTTGTCCACCTGGGCAAATCGAGCTCACCGATTTGTATATAAATATCATATGGCAAGGATTGGGCAAGTGATCCACTTTTCCTGGCTCACTGACCTTGTTTACAATATATAAAACCTAGGCAAACATGAAGAAGCACAATATGCAACTCTATGTGCATATAAAGCTTTCAAGTAAATAGAAATATAAAGGTCATTCATAACAACTGTTTCTAACATAGTATGAAATTGATATGAAATTCTAATTTGACCTTGCATCAACTCTTCCACTGTCATCACCTTACAAACTTTCCCCTTCCTCCATGAACCTGTGTGCGCTCTTTTCTTCTTAGATTTCTAGTAGAGAGTGAACTTGGGCTTTGAAAGACTTAAGAAACCTTTTTATATAGACATCTGTGTTAGTAGGCAGCCTTGATAAGTCTTGATCTCAAAGTGATTTAAAAGTGATTCTGGAAGGCATCTAAGGGCAAATCCACCATATTTTCATGTAGCCATACAGACTATGGGAGATCTATAAGAAACTTGAATAAAGAAACGTTGGATAGAGGAACAGTGTGTAGTGGAAAGAGCGTACAGACAAGAAAAGAACATTTTGTAAAGAAACATCATATAAAGAAACTAATTTTAACAAGGTCAGTTGAAATGACATCTTTTAATCATTATTGTATACTCAAGATAAGCCTCATTTATACGATTTGTGTACGATGCGATGCTAAGACTAGAGCGGAACCTTGATTCTTCATAAAGTTTTTGTTCGAATGATGCTCAAACAGGCATTCAATTATGAGTGAAGCCTGTAGATACACTACATAATTCTTTCAAGAGTGATGAGGTGGCACTGATAAACGCCCACTCTTGCTAATTAATCTTGAAGGAAAATGTGGTGTAACCGCAAGCTTGGCTCACACCTCTTTTCACCATGGAAGCCTTCAAAGATTACCAAACTTTAATGACTTATTGTATAGCTATATGAGATTCATATAGCTCTACGCAGAATACTCGTAATCAGACGGTATAGCTATACAATAGATGCAGGTAGTCTGAAAGCAGGGTTAGAATCCCTGTGCTTGAACTTCCATGTGGTAGACAGTGAGCTCGTTATTAGAGTCACTGGAAGGCCAATCTGAAATGGCAATTAGAGCGAGTGTGAGGTGGTTCATTGATGGGTTTCTTACTCGTGTAGCAGTATAGAGGTTCATTCATTCATTCCTTCTTTCATTCATCGGAGGATTGAGGTATAATATGGCCCTGTCACATGACAAGAAGAAAGACATAAGGAGTATTCAAGTTCTTAACATGACTGTAGGCCTACTGGCATTCACTTCCCCAATCTTGCAATGCAGTATTGTACAAATCCATACCAGTACCTTACATTTTTAGGCCAGTGTGGCATCTTTTGTATCAGCTAGAATCCAAGTGACATCGTAGGTGCGTTTACAAGTAGAGAAAAGTGAACTTTGGACCGCAGTTCAAATGTGCAAACTTTTTTTTTCTTCACAAAACCCCCCTAACCTCACTGAAACTTTTGCCATTTTTGAATATGTGTTGAGAAATATGTTGGTACTTTATAACTTTGCTTGTAAAAAAGTGTGCCATTTGTAAATCCCACTTTATGTCCCACAGTTTAACATGAAAACTAAATCATACAGAAACCTACCGGTATTTGTATCTGCATATGAATGGTATAATTTTATGCACACAAATTATTCAGTCACTTGTAGAGAAGGGTTGTTGAACTAGACCACATTATGTCAAGAGCGAATTCTGTATGTGATTGTGTATGAACAATAACATGTTTGCATAGTTTAAGGATCTGAAAGAAAACGGAATTCAGGTTTTGTCATTTCCATATATGGTATCGATCTGAATGCCAAGGGAGTTCAATTCACAGCACATTGCTTGCGTGAATGCCCTAGAGAGAGAGAAAGAGAGAGAGAGAGAGAGATGAATGTAGTTGTTCGGTTGGTTGCTGCCTCCTACCAGGTATGGCCGTGGTATCAACCTACCCACCCACTGATATCGGAAGGCAATGAATGCAATGTGATTGCTACAAGCAGCTACTAAGCTAACTAGCTTTCAATTTCAAACATCCACCGTCCAAGCTGGAAGCTTCTTTTTTTTCTCTTTCCTTGTGTCCCACTTGAATCGTCGTCTTTATCTTTTCTTCTTTTCTTTATCTCTTTGTTGATCCTTCTGTTTTCTGATTCTGAAATGTCACTTTTGTTTACAGGCTTCCCTGTCTTTATAAATAACCCCATCTTTCTGAACCCTTAAAGGTATTACAAAGTTTTGGTAAAAATATTTAATTCATCTGAAACTCTTTGATGTTATAACAAGATGCTATAGGAATATCTTTAACCAATCTCCCCCGCTGAAATACTTTTTTTTTTTTGTAGTGAATTAAACAGTAATTAATAAATCAATTATTAGTTCCAAGCTGCCTGTATTTAAACCAGCTCATGTTGTTTTATACTAGCGCCATCTACTGTTGTAAATGGTTCATGGTATAATCGATATTGAAAATGGGCTTTCGCCCCGCTCGGCGCTGACCCCGCTCCACAGCGGGAAAGCCACTGCATTCGCATGGCTAAGGTCCACGGTCTCTTTTAGAGCTCAATGGTTCCAGCATCTGTGTGCGTTTGTGTGAGAGCAAGTACCATTCAGGATTGTATCGCACAAATCAATGGAGTTATAGTATCCTTGCAGAGTGAGTAACCTATGGTTTGACGTACCCGTAAACCCTCCTCCGCAACCGTCTCAATCTAGTCTCAGCTTCGACTGATCAGTCATTTTGATATACATTTATAACAAACAGTTTCAATATGCTACGGGATACATGAAGTCTTATCATTTTTTCCAATTATTATGTCCGTGAAATGCATTCAGAAAAGAATATCAAAAAGAAAGCAATTTGAAAATGAATGACCACACAATCGTTCAAATAAACATGAAAGAAATACAATAAATATGTCTATCCATATACCGCTCTCTCTCCCTCTCTCTCTCTCTCTCTCTTTCCTACAGAAGTTCGTTGTAATGTTCATCATACCCTTGGAAGTTTCGAAAATAATCATTTTCACCACATAGACTCTCTCTCTCCGAAATATAGACCCAGGCTCTCTCTGTCACTCTCACTCTCACTTGTTCCCTCTTTCCCTTCCTCTCGCACCCTCTCGATCTCCCTCTCTTCGCCTGGACCTCTGCACTGAATGTTTGACTTGTTTTATGATCATTATTTTCTTTCATTCTCATCTACATTATAACCCCATCAAAAAACTATGATCCTATCACGTTGAATGAAAACTTCTATCGTCTTTGTGATTATTATTATCTTTGTCATATCTTTATATCATCCTCATTTACATACACCCCAACAATTAATGGTCCTATCGCGTGAATGAGAACTTCTATCGTTTTTACGATTATTATTATCCCTGCCAAACATATATTATCATACTCATTTACATGAACCACAACCAAAAAATATGGTCCTATTACGCGAATGAGAACTTCTATAGAAGTTGTCTTCGTGATTATTATTATTGTTGTCATAAACTCCAACCAAACACTACTATCCTATCGAGTGAATGAGAACTTCTCTTGCTTTTGTGATAATTATTATCTTTGTCATATATTTATATCACCCCCATTTGAATAACCCCGATAAAAGAAATATGGTCCTATCACGCGAATGAGAACTTCTATAGTCTTTGTGATTATTATTATTGTTGTCATAACCCAACCAAAAACTACTGTCCTATCACGTGAATGAGAACTTCTCTCGTTTTTGTGATAATTATTATCTTTGTCATATTTATATCACCCTCATTTGAATAACCCCGACAAAAGAAATATGGTCCTATCACGCGAATGAGAACTTCTATCTTTTTTGTGATTATTATTATCCTTGTCATAAACTCCAACCAAAAAATACTGTCCTATCACGTGAATGAGAACTTCTCTCGCTTTTGTGATAATAATTATCTTTGTCATATATTTATATCATCTCATTATTTTGAATAACCCCGACAAAAGAAATATGGTCCTATCACGCGAATGAGAACTCTTATCGTCTTTGTGATTATTATTATTGTTGTCATAAACTCCAACCAAAAAATACTGTCCTATCACGTAAATGAGAACTTCTCTCGCTTTTGTGATAATAATTATCTTTGTCATATATTTATATCATCTCATTATTTTGAATAACCCCGACAAAAGAAATATGGTCCTATCACGCGAATGAGAACTCTTATCGTCTTTGTGATTATTATTATTCTTGTCATAAAATCCAACCAAAAACTACTGTCCTATCACATGAATGAGAACTTCTCTCGCATTTGTGATAATTAGTATCTTTGTCATGTATTTATATCACCCTCATTTACATAACCCCGACAAAAGAAATATGGTCCTATCACGCGAATGAGAACTTCTATAGTCTTTGTGATTATTATTATTGTTGTCATAACCCAACCAAAAACTACTGTCCTATCACGTGAATGAGAATTTCTCTCGATTTTGTGATAATAATCTTTGTCATATTTATATCACCCTCATTTGAATAACCCCGACAAAAGAAATATGGTCCTATCAAGCGAATGAGAACTCTTATCGTCTTTGTGATTATTATTATTCTTGTCATAAAATCCAACCAAAAACTACTGTCCTATCACATGAATGAGAACTTCTCTCGCATTTGTGATAATTAGTATCTTTGTCATGTATTTATATCACCCTCATTTACATAACCCCAACAAAAGAAATATGGTCCTATCAAGCGA